GCTGAATCTCAGTAATCATCAGGAACCTGGAAGAAACCACAAGGAGATGCTGCTGCTGAGTAAAGGAGCATCTTTTCTCATCAGGCTGGGGGGTGAGAAGTTCAGTGGGTGGCCATCAGCATCAAGCCTCTTTGGATCCCCTTCCCTGTGGGTCCTTCACTGGGTTTGTGGATGGGCTCTGTGGTCCTGTGGGGTTCCTGAGGAGGCTTGGGAGGGGATGGTGACCATGATGCCAGCCTCTCCAGGCATGACCAAGACACCAGCCAGGTCCTAGGCCAGAGCTGAGCCAAGGGACACCAGCTCCACAACATCCCACCTGCCATGGTGGTGCCCAATCCTGGCATCCTGCAGAGCTCAGGGGACTTGGGATGGAGGAGAACGTGGAAAAAAAACCAACCTAAACTGCAACAGCAACCAAAAAATCCCCAAATGGCTTAAAAAAAAATCCCAGACTGTGAGAAAAAAACCCAAACTCTGGGGAAAACCCCCAACCCTCTGAAGCCCTCGAGCAGCAGGGAGAGGATCTCACCTCTCCTGGAGAACCTTCCCCTCCACCTCAGAGAGAACACCTCATATCTTTTGGGGTTGCTGCTGCTGCTGCTACAAGATGAAGGGCTCACCCTGATGCCCCTCTTTGCATTTCCAAAAGAAAGACCATGATTTTCTTCCTGGAAAGGGGTGTGTGTGTGTGTGTGTGTGTAGGGGGGGGATTTTTGCTCCCACTGATCTCTGAAACACCCTGACCCACCCAGCAGAACTTCCACAACCCACTTCCCAACATTCCTCCCCAACCCTCCTGCCTGTGCTACCAGCACCAAACCCCTCCCCTGCAAATAAACCTGATTTTTAGCTCGTTTTTCCCTTCCTTTAGGAAAAAAGACAAGTGGGGGGAGGGGGAAAGAAAGAAACAGAGACCTGGGAGGGGAGAGCCCTGGGTACAGACAAACATTCTCTTTATTGAGCTACACATGAATTTGTTTCCATTAGTCAGAGAAAGAGATTGGCAGTGTGTAATATATCACAGAAACCTCACTGATTGGTAATAGAAAGGCTTAGAAAGACCTGGCGCTTTATATATATATTATATATAATATTCTTATTATTTTTAATCTCTTTTTTTGTGTGTGTGTGTGTTTCCTTTCCTCTTAACTCTTTTGCAAGCAGGTGTGACTTGCTCTTCTCCTTCAGCCAAAAAGAAAAACAAACAACAAACCGAACCGAACAACAAAGTGACTCTTGAAAAGTGAAACTTGTGACAACCTTGGGTTCCTCAGCCCACTTAGAAATGACAGGAGGGGATTGGTCATGAAAACAGTGGCTTCCATGTAAACACTACATTCCAGTTTTGTTTGTTTGTCAAGTCATTGGTGTTTTTCTGTTGACATTTTTCAATCATTTTCCTTCTTGTTTTTTTCTTTTTTTAAGTCGTTTTTTCATATTTTTTGCTCTTTTTTTGCTTTTATTTTTGCCCCTCCCCCTCCCTTCGTTGTGGTTTGTTTTTTAATTATGATTATTTCCTTTATTGATGTGTTGTTTTTTTTTTTTTTGTCTCAGCACAAACATCCCCCAGGGGAGAAAAAAAAAAAAAGAAACACCACTAAAAAGGGGGGAGAGAGAGAGAGAAAACTTGGGGGGGGGGGTTAAAAGCAGCACAGAAAGAAGAAGAGGGAAAAAAGAAAAAAAAACAAACAGAGGCAAAAAAAAATGAACCTGAAGAAAAGCCAAATGAAATTTCTAGGTGGGATTAACCTCCTTGGAAGGAGGGGTGGAAAGTGGGGGGGAACCTGTCCAGCCTGGCTGAGCTGTGCTTGTGTTTTTTGTGGGTCTGAACTTGGAGAAATGAGCTGGGAGTGAAGCAGGGAGGAAGGAAAATGGGAGGGGGAAAGGTGGGAATAAAAAAAACCCCAACCCTCTGGCTCTTTGGCTGGTCAGGGCTTCTGGCCTTCAAGCAGGGAGGGAATGAAAGAAAAGAAAGCAAAAATCGAACCCCAAAACCCCCTGGAGAAGGAGGGAGGGAGGGAGGGAGGTGAGATCCCATCAGGGCTTTGCCTCCTGAAACAGCCGGGATGGGAAATGGGGGAAAAAAAATCACCTTGTTGGTTCCCTTTTCAGGGGTTGGGAGGGAGAACGTGGCACTTTCCCTCCTCCCCCCACCCCTTTATCTCCTTTTTTAAAAATGATTTTATTATTATCTCTTAGTTTCAGGAGGCAGCTGCTCCCCTGGGCTGGGGGGGGGGGGGGCCCCCCCCCCCTCCC